TTTTTTTCCCTATTGAGATAGCAAAAGCTTAAATGTGAACCACCACATTATGGCATAATAACCATACACAAACAGTACTAACTGAGTTTGGAGTTTTTCTAAAGTGGGCACTTGTGTCCATAAGGATTCCATGATGTGGTTTTATTATTGAACCCCCTAAGGAAGATGATGAAACTAAGACTGAGAGAAGTTATGTAAATTGCCCAGGCTTGAAGATGGGATTTAAATATGTGTGCCAGTACCTTTGTACCACTTTCTCTACTGCTTTCAGTAGCTACAGGGTTGGGTAGAGGGAGGGGTTTCAATAGGAAAACAAGAAACATGCTCATACTGGCTTCCTAGGGAAAAGGCATTCTGAGGAGCACCCTGCTGTAAGTTCCTTCTTATAACTCATACCATTTTCTTTTAATACAAAAAGAAGAGACCGAAAGGATCCTTGAGATTTGAGAGTCAGAACATTAAGATTGAAGTTTGCAACTCTAATACCAATTTGAAAGTTTGTGGCATGAAAGTGGTTGTTGATGCCATAGGTATGGATAAAATTGTCCAGGGAAAGAAGATACAACAAAAAAGGTTAAAGGTCTTAGGCTGAATTACTGGAAACCAACATTTAAAGGGAATATAGAGGAAAACCAGCCAATAAGAAGGACAAGAGAAAGAGTCAAGGTCAAGGGTCAAAGTCAAGAGTCAAGTCATCCAGGGCAGGATGGTGTGTGGTCATGTAGGACTGGTTGGGATGGGGTCATACAGGAGACAGGCACCATCAGGGTGAGATGATATAAAGCTGTGAGGTTAGGTGATTTCTTTAAGAAAGGATAGAAGGAAGGAAAGATGAGTGAAAAGGCAAATATATTAGAAAGGGGAGAGAGAACAATGTTAAGGAAGGTCTACCAGTGCCTGCATATTCTTAAGGAAGTTGAATGTTCTTTGTGGTTTTTGGCTCAATTCCCTCCTTCCCAAAGTATTTCATTAACAGTTTCTCTTACATGATGCTCAAGAAATAACACCTCAAATAAAGAGTAGCCCATCTGAAGACACTGCAAATATTGTGATACCTTGACAGGAAGAGGAGCGCCTGAGTAACTGGTAGGTCACTGGTTACAGAGACTGGCTGCAATACTGCCAGTTCTCACATGGCCTTGTTTAGTGGGTTTTCAGTTCCTGATAATCATCTCCAAACTTTCCTGGAAAACCAACTGGGTAATTTCATCTTTTTTCTATTGTCTTAAATTGAGCTCATTTCTCTTCAAGTTTCAGTTCAAGAATTCTGGCTGTCTCCCACCAGTGGAACATCCTGGGGTAGGTGGCATTTGTAAACTCAGCCCATTCTTTTTACTGTTTGGTCTGAGGCCAACTCTTGTGAATGCTAAAGTAGTCAAGGGTTGGAAAATTTAGGGTAAACCCTGTCTACCATCAAATTCCTATGAGACATTCAAGATCTGTTCTTTTTGGATGCTCACCTCCCTGGAAGGTCTTCCTCACTCTCTAATGCTCTGTTGTCTGCCAGGACCTCCCCACTTTATGTGACTGTTAGTTGAATATTCTATACTTTGAAAAGATGTAAATCCCATATCAATATAGTAGGATTTTAGTGCTCTACATCCCTCATTTCATGGGTGAAGAGACTGAGGTTCAGAGAGAACTAAGTTGTTTAAAGTTACATGGCTGGGAATGAATCCAGGTCTTTTGGTTCCTAGTCCAGTGCTCTTTGTATATTGCACCTTCATCATTTAATAAAGGGTAGCTCATTACAGAAAAATAAAGGGAAATGATGGCACCTTCCTCCTTTTACATAATTCTCACCAGGTTTGTATCTCTTGCTCTCAGTAATTCAGGATATAACTGACCTTGTCTTTTCAGGGAAGGGTACCTGTGGTTCATCACTATTGGTAAAGGCAACTCAATCTGAATTTTTCCCATTTACGATGTACTTTTTAGAGTTTAAAATTTTGTGAACAAAGTTCTTTTTTCCCTATAGCTAGTGATGTACCAGTAAAACAACAATCTTGGAGACATTTGACTTAAATTTGAGCCAAATAATAAAATACTGGTATAAAATATTTTCCTGGGAGCAAACATTTAATGAAGGCTGGAAAAGATTGTGGTAGTGGCTCAGTATTGGGTATTTGACATACTTTAAGTTTATAACAACATCAAGTATCATTCCACTTTGCTTCCAGGAAACTGGGTCACAAAAAAAGTTAAGTAACTCAGCCCCTATAGTTAATTATGTTAATTAAGTATCAGTGCTGGATTTCAGATCTTGGTGCATCTGACTTCAATGCCAATGCTCTTTCTACTACACAGTGGTTCTCTAACTTGACATAAAAATTTCCTGAGAAAGTTGTTTAAAGGACAGATTCTATGTAATCCAGGCATTCTAATTCAGCAGGACTGAGGTAGGGTAGGAACCTATATTTTTAAAAATTGCCTTTAGTGATTCTGGTTGTACAGCTTGTTGTGAAATAGTGGAGGGAAAACAAAGTAGGCAATGGGTATAGATGGAAGGTTCTCCTCTTTGACTTCTTGGGTCAGGTCAGCTTCCCTCCAGAAGCTCACAGCCTCTTTAGACCTGGCTCTGGCATCCTCCTCCTTCAAAGGAAGAATTCTCCACAAGCTCTGCTAGAGGAACTTGCGCTAAAGAAAAGCTTCTCAGCATGGAAATACAAAGTTGGTGCAAAAGTTTTCATTAGGAATGTTTTCCTCCAAGGGAAGGACTACTTACGAACACACTCTAAGCCTGAACATGGGATCGTTCTTGTCTCTGTGCTCTTTGTGTCTAGCACAGGTGGCTGGCTCATGGTGATTGCTCAGTATTCATGGATTCATGAAAGGTGGTGGGAATGCTAGTAGTCAGTTCTGGTGGGTTAGGGCTGAGGGTTTACATTTTTAATTATCTCCTGTTTGGAGACTACACACTGTGTTTTGAGGGCCACCTTTCTGGCATATAGTTTTGAGGGGGGCATTGTTAAGAGTCCAGTTGTAGTCAACTTTTTAAGGTACACCATGATGAGTGTGTATGATAGCTTTTTTTCCTTCATGATATTTGTAAGTTGAATCTGATTTATTTAAGGGACAGTACTGTGGAGAATATATTTCTAATCTAGTCAGCCTATAGTTATTTCTTCACTTGGGACAATTACTGAAGTTTCAGGTGGCTTTCTTCCAATTCAGTCAGCAGTGAATATCATTAACTTACCTTCTAGTATTTCTCCTAGTTCTCTGGCATAAGATGAACAATCAGGAGATTCCAAAAGCCTGAATCATAATAAAAAAAATTTTCATCTGGTTTGGAGATAGTATCACATGTTCTAGGGATTTAATTACCGATACCTACAAATCTCAAGAACTCAAGTGAGGCCTCTGATGATTTTTAATAATGCAATTCCACATTTTATAGAATTCCACACCTTCCCCTGCTTCAAACTATACACTAAATTTAAAGTAAACCATACTTGCTGAGGAGACACATGATAACTCACCAACCTGATAGTCAAAACTTTATCATCTACATGAGTTCCAGGTCCTTCTCCTAGTCCATGTTGTCCAGAAAACTAAAAATGGTCTAGGCAAAAATTAGTGAAAGAGGTGGATGGGAAACAGCATGAAGTTCTAGTAGCTGCAGTGAACTATCAGGGCCATGTTCTCCCCAAAGGAGGAGGTAGTTATGTTTTAACAAAGTGGGACTCCAAGAAGACTAAATATCTGCTTCTTTTCCTCATCTCTCCTCCTCTCCCCTCTATTCTCCTTCTTTCCTTTCCGTACTCCCTCTTTCCTTTATTTTCTCTTTCCTTATTTCTTTATTCCATCCCCCTCTTATTTATTTTTCCTTCCTCTCACAAACACATTTTAGGCTCCTGGAAATAGAAAGAAGCAAATGTCATGGTTTTTGCATTTTAGGAGCTTAAGGCTCAATAGAATTCCTATTTCTAAAAGTAGAGCTGTAAAAAGAATGCAAGAGTTTTTGGCCATCATTTCTGGATCCTTGAGAGTTTACAAAGCCTGGTGGTTACTCTTGTGCAGAATAAGGTGAGAAGAAGTGCTTGAGTGTTGCTCTCTTGTATCAAATGTCTCTCCTCCTTAAGTTCTCCCTTCTATCCAAGTATTTCCTAATTTAGATCAGAGCAGATTTTGGAGTTAGGGGAGTGTGGCAAAGAGGAGGGAGCTTAGAAAAGTCTCATTTCAGAGTCACTTTTTGTTGACAGTATTGGTCCATGACTGCTATATATCCAGCAGTTACAACTCTGAGTGGTCATGGGTTTGAGGATATATAGCCACTACTCATATAACTTGGCTACTGGTAGCTGTTAGTGATAAGGGTAAAGAAGAAGCCTCTGTGTTAGAGAAATGAAATATTTGTAATGAAAGAGACTCTATAACATTTCTAAAAAATTCCAAGATAAGTAAAATATTCATGAAACCATCTGCTTTATTTGGTCCACACAATGTCCATTTGTTCACTCATTCATTCATTTATTCACTCATCCATTGTGGTGGGCACTGAGTTAGGAGTTGGAAGTCCTGATCAGTCTGTCATGAAAGAAACTGAAATTTTCAAACACAGCATCTGAATGTTTTGTCATCATGGAGAAAAGGTCCTGTGGCTGCATACATCCATTGGGTGGAGTATAGGGGTTTTGACATTTAATTCTGTTAAAAATACTTTCCAAAATCATTTTACCAGCACCTCAGAGGTGTAATGTGTGTTATGAAGTTAAAAGAAAAGTCATGTAGAGTATTTTAGCCGAAAAACTTGAACATTAAAAAAAGATTTTCAACTTGGGACCACTTTGTCTCAAGGGAGATTTAAAAAAATCTTAAAAAATAACAGGAGTTTCGCTTTCTGCCGGTGGATGCCTCTGAGTAAGCATTGGTGAAATCTCTTCTCCTGAAGTTGTCATTTCTAAGTCAGAGTCCCCCAAAGAACTGGAACAGCTACAGAAGCTCTTTATCAGAGGTTTGAGCTTGGAAACAACAGATGAGAGCCTGGGGAGTCATTTTGAGCAATGGGGAACGCTCACAGACTGTGAGGTGATGAGAGATCCAAACATGGAGTGCTCCAGAGGCTTTGGGTTTGTCACATATGCCACTGTGGAGGAGAACCAGAGGAGGAGGTGGATGCAACCATGAATGCAAGGCTTCACAAGGTGGATGGAAGAGTTGTGGAACCAAAGAGGGCTGTGTCAAGAGAAGACTCTCAAAGACCGGGTGCCCACTTAACTGTGAAAAAGATTTCCGTTGGTGGAATTAAAGAAAACACTGAAGAACATCACCTAAGAGATTATTTTGAACGGTATGGGAAAATTGAAGTGAATGAAATAATGACTGATCGAGGCAGTGACAAAAAGAGAGGCTTCGCTTTTGTAACTTTTGATGACCATGATTCTGTAGACAAGATTGTCATTCAGAAATACCATACTGTAAATGGTCACAACTATGAAGTAAGGAAAGCCCGATCTAAGCAAGAGATGGCTAGCGCTTCATCCAGCCAAAGAGGTCGAAGTGGTCCTGGAAACTTCGGAGGTGGTTGTGGAGGTGGTTTTGGTGGGAATGATAACTTTGGTAGTGGAGGAAACTTCAGTGGTGGAGGTGGCTTTGGTGGTAGCCGTGATGGTAGTGGTTATGGTGGCAGTGGGAATGGCTATAATGGATTTGGTAATGATAGTGGTTATGGAGGAGGCGGCCCTGGTTACTCTGGAGGAAGCAGAAGCTATGGAAGTGGTGGACAGGGTTATGGAAACCAGGGCAGTGGCTATGGCGGGAGTGGCAGCTATGACAGTTATAACAACGGAGGAGGCGGAGGCAGCTTTGGCGGTGGTAGTGGGAGCAGTTTTGGAGGTGGTGGAAGCTACGATGCTTTTGGCAATTACAACAATCAATCTTCAAATTTTGGACCCATGAAAGGAGGAAACTTTGGAGGCAGAAGCTCTGGCCCCTATGGTGGCGGAGGCCAATACTTTGCCAAACGACGAAATCAAGGTGGCTATGGCGGTTCCAGCAGCAGCAGTAGCTATGGCAGTGGCAGAAGGTTTTAACTGCTGCCAGGAAACAAAGCTTAGCAGGAGAGGAGAGCCAGAGAAGTGACAGGGAAGCTACAGGTTATAACAGATTTGTGAACTCAACCAAGCACAGTGGTGGCAGGGCCTAGCTACTACAAAAAAGACATGTTTTAGACAATACTCATGTGAATGGGCAAAAAACTCGAGGACTGTATTTGTGACTAATTGTATAACAGGTTATTTTAGTTTCTGTTCTGTGGAAAGTGTAAAGCATTCCAACAAAGGGTTTTTAATGTAGTTTTTCTTTATTCTTTTATTTTTTTTTTACACCCATGCTGTTGATTGCTAAATGTAGTAGTCTGATCACGATGCTGAATAAATGTGTCTTTAAAAAAAATAACAAGAGCTTCAAAACAGGTAGCCACTGATATGCAGATCTAAGGGAAACTTAAATTGATAATACTTAATAATTTTTAAAAGTTCAGCTAAAAGACAATAATTTGGGATAGGCAAACAAGTCGATTTGTTCTTTAATTCCAGTCACCCCAAAGCAAGGGATGGCTTCTGTTCATGTCTTCCATGCAAGCAACTTTTCATTAGGTTGAGACCAAGCATGGACAATATCTGCCTGAAATGATTACTTTCTGGAAATTTTCAGTGAGCAGAAATAGTCATGTAGAGGTGTGGATCTTGCTTCCTGGATCAATAATTTTAGCTAGTTAAGATTTCTGCCAAGGAAAGGCAAGGATGGTCAAGTTTAACAGTTCAAACAAACCGCTGAAAACTTCTTGCACACGTGGGTTCAAGGATCTTTTTTTTATGATTTATAGAAGACAAAGCACTAATTGAGATACAAATAATAGCTAACATATAATAGTCAGTTATTATGCTGCCCACTACACCAAGTACTTTATGTACACTGACTCATCTAATCCTAATGACAACCCTACTTTATAAGTGACAACATTGAGGCACCAAATGGTTAAATTACAGAGTAGGATTAATGTGTCATTTACTTAGAAAATGAGTCAAGCTCCATATATATGAATAAATGTGAACATTCGACTTCCTTGTCCTTTGGTTTTCTTTTTTAAGTTTGATGTGTTTTCTCTGTGTTCAGTGGATATTGGTAACTTCTTAGCCATTTGAAGAAAAGTCAAAATTTGAATTCAGAAGATAATTTTGAAACCCACAACATGAATTCAAGAAGCTAAGGGAAAATCTAACTTCACAAATAGGATCCTAAGAGCTTAGAAAAATCCATAGCTTTCATTGAGGCTTTTTTTTTGTTTTTAAAAGATTTTATTAATTTATTTATAGAGAGAGGGGAAGGGAAGGAGAGAGGGAGAGAAACATCAACGTGTGAGAGAAACACTGATCAGCTGCCTCTTGCATGCCTCCAAGTGGGGACCTGGCCCAAAACCCAGGCATGTGCCCTGACCGGGAATCAAACTAGCGACACTTTACTTTGTGGGATGACACTCAAGAAACTGGGCCACACTGGTTACGGTGAGTGTGTTCCTCACTCTCCAAACACCCCTTACATTTCCTTCTCATGTAAAAGATAACAAGATGTAACGGACTCATTCTAAGTGAGTGACACATTTACCTATTCTTGTAAGTCTAAACTTTCAGCAACTCTGTAATATGTAGGACACATACCTAATAATTCACTCTTCCTAATATGTACGGTCTTTTTCAGCTTGGCTTCCCATTACTCATTCCAGACAAGACTCTGGTATTACCTCTCTTCTGTGTTGCGGAAGGTTTCTAGTCTGTTTTTTAAACATGGTGTTCAATCTGTCCTCATTTGATGCCTTAGCTCTGGCAGTTTCTCCTTATGTCTTCTTCACATTCAGCTTATGTACTGCTCTTCTGAGTGACTATAAGTTGATCTGTTAATCATTACACTTTAATGAAGAATCAATTCTGTCCACAGGTGTTTCTCTCAGAATGCCCTCAGAGCCTAGACGTGCAGACAGGAAGTTTGTGAAGCTTCTGGCTCTGACACAATACCACAGAATATTGTTGAATTATGCATCTTCTCTGAGGCTCAAAGAAGGCACACTGTGAAAGGTAAAACATCAATCAAATCACAGGAGAGTGTCAGGATTCTATTCTACATTTATGGGTACGAGCTTCTTTTAGCTATGATTGCTGACTCCAAGTTGGCTGTCATCCCCAGAAATGTGCCTGAGACACATGCCCCTTGACATGCTTTGAGCCTTAGGGGACATGTGTCATAAACTGGCATTAAGCAACAGCATCTGGACAAATAACCTTTCAGTGACTAAAGCTGTTTGAAATTACCACTATGCATTTTACTTTAAGTTCCTTACCTTGAAATGAAACAAAGTCATGACAGAGAAGTGGATGGATTTGCCCTTGGCCATAGCATCAGGCAGTAGTGTAAGTAGAAGGAGAGTAATCTTATGTGTCAAAGTCTGTCAGCATTGCCAAATCATGGTCTTTTTTAAAAAATATATATGTATATTGCATAAAGAGTTGGTGTTATAAAAAGAATCTTGTAAATACCATAGTCTTTTATCCAAAATGTTATTAAGAACTTTTTCATTAAAAATTAAGATGCCTTAGAAACCACATAAAATTTTAAAAGGCTCTACCTTTCCACACAGCCTTTTAAGGACACCTCAAGAGACGTGGTAGAATTCTCAAGGTATTGGAGAGCTCTGCAAAGGAACACTCTTCTGCCAATTTGTCCTCGTATTGGCCCAGGGCAGCCCTTTACTACCTTGTTTCTCATTATCTTAGCTGCAATTAGGCATGCTCCTTCAAATACCTGGACTGTTTTAAGGATGCCACCATAGTAGGCAGAACGTGAAGTGTTCCTGTGAGCTGTGAACTGTGGTCCCGCAGCCCTGTGTGTGCCACTGAGCTCTCCTGAAGTCTTCTGTTTTTTGTGTGAATTCTATCCTATACTGTGAAATTATGTGTGGGATCAGCCTCACATTTATTCATCTGTGCAGTTTTCTCTTTGTTCAACTCAACTCAGCATAAATGTAGTCACTTCATTTTGTGGGCCTCAAGCAATCTGACCTTCTGTTCCCTTCTTTGTATGCCTTTCTTTTCTGCTAACTTAGGGAGAGTCTTTGTAAATTTTTCCTGGATATACCTCACTTTATACTCAAGAGATGTTTTGCCATTGTAGCATGTTTTAACTTAGCTACTAAACTGTATGTCCTCTTAACTCCCTCGGTCCAACGTACCCCCTTCCTGGTTTCCTCACCTTGACCTTGTCCTTCCAGCTTTTGTCTTTTCAGAATAGAGGGCATGCATTGTTTTGTTTGCCATTCCCTACCATCCCTTAAATTCCCTCTCTTGAGTGTTCTATATCTTTTGTGTTTCTCTAATTCTAACAGCAAAATTGCAGGCCCAGGTTGTACAAGCATACATTTTTCTGCTTCTCTCCCATATGGTCAGTTGGATTTTTCTTACTATCATCATTTTTGGTCTTTTTTGCTGAAGCTCTTTACCAGTTTGCATATAATCAGGAATTTTCTGGTTTGCTGCTACTGTTTTTTCACTTGGCAATACTTGCAGAGTCCCTTCTTTATGCAAGACAGTATCCTGTGTGCTGGGGATACAGAGAGGAACAAGACACAGGCCTTGTCCAGAAGGGGCTCCTAGGTTGGTACAGAACACAAATATGACACATCTGACACTATTGAATACTAGTATGATGGCATAGACTTGGAGGAAGATAGTATGGGATGTTCATGCTAAATAAGAGAGTGGATTACCCAATTCAGCAAGGAGAGGAATTTCAGGAAAAATTTCACTAAAAAGTCTGAGTTGAACTGGATTCTGAAGCATGGTAAGGTGTTCATCAGGCAAAATCAGCCAGGATATTCACAGTGGAGGTAGCAATACAGGCAAAGGCATAGAAATATAAAAGATGATTGATTATGTCCAATCACTTTATGAACCTTTTTGGATTAGATAATCTTTCCTTTATGCTTCCTTGCCAGTCCTACATATAGAACATGCTTTGAGTGGGTTATCAGCAAAGGTCAAATGTTGCTGATGTGAGGGGTTGGAGGGCTGGGGTAAAAAAGAGACAGTCATCTGAAAGTTTTATGTCTTAAACAGGGCTCTTAAAGGGGCCTTGGATTTTTTTTTTTTTTGCAGACTCAAAAGTACTTAAAGGCACATCATGCAGCCAACAGTGAACCAGGAAATGGTTTCAGTGGGGCCAATAGCGGGACATTTTGGCAGCCATCTTTATTAGGCTTGGAGAACTTTGCTATCCAATATCTTTGTGACTCTCCTTATGAAAGCTCATGAGCGGTTAGGGTGGAAATATAGAACTTTTAAGCATTTTAATGTGATTTCAATTGCATTTTAATTTTTCATATAACTTTTAATAAAGTTCTGCTTTAATAAGAGACATGAGGATCAAAGATTCCTTTTAATAGGGAGTCCAATATATTACAATACTGGGAGATGAATGGGTGTAAAAAGACCGTGGTACATCTCTTTCAAGTAAATACAATAAATTGTTCTGTTGGAATGGGAAAAAAAGAGAAAGTGCATACATGCATGGATATATCTTTTTATTTCTCTATGTAGCCAGTAATTTCACTCTTTTGAAGTAATTGCTGAGCTTTTGGCATCTTTGACTGATAAACTTTTCATATGATAGCTACACTGTTCCAAAGACGGTACAGACATCTGAACCAAACATTTTCCTGTTTCATTTCCAAGAAATTAAACTGACAGATATACCTGCCTATTTTTGTTCCAAGAAAATGTCTTGTTAGAAATGTGTGGAAATATATTATTAGACAATCACTGAAAATGTCTTGTATGCAGCAATAAGTTGATTGTGGTTTTTGGACCAGATGTGCATTATTTTTAGCATTTATTGTGCTTCTCCATATTCTAGCTTGGTGCTGAAGTAAACAGAAAAGTGCTTTGCTTTTCAGTGGAACCCCTTAAGTGAATGGATGGTGTTTTATATTCTACTTAGTGACAGTAAGTTTTAGGAATCATGCAAATTGGAGATATCCACTCTCTTCACATCCACTGTGTAGCTGATAGAACTCTAAACTAAGGGCCTATTTTCTTCTGAACCCTGAGGTTAAGAGTAACACTTACCTAGCAAATGCCCACAGCTTATGTGCTCACATACAAACTAGAGAAACATACTTCTTATCTGACCATATATTTAAATCCCTGCCTGTGAGTTAATTGTGATAAGACCTGATCAGAACTTGATTAGTCAATAAGACTGAAGAAGATATCTTTTTGTTACACATTCTGTTCTACTCA